GGCAGAAGCAGAACTGGAATTGTAGCAACGAAAGAGAAAGGAACCCTCTGGCTTACACGTGCAAGGAGAAAGAGAACAAACAAGGGCAGGATGTAGGAGCTGGTCCAGCGTAAATCCATAGCACTTGAGTCTGACCTGAATGTGGCTTTCTCTTTGTCTTCTTAATTCCTTTATTTTATTGGCTTTTTTATTAAAGCTCATACTTCATGCTGAAGGATTTAGTACTCACTTTCTCTTTCCCCTTACACCTTCCAAGAGGATTACCTATTAATCCAAATGCTGACAGTCATTCATTTCCATTACAAAAATAGCCCCACTCTATAGCAGGATCCTCACCGCAACTAGATGAGCATTTTAAATGTAGCCTGAGAAGAAAATGACTCTCAGCACTCTCTCTCTGTTTACTGTATGGGTATTTACTGTGTTTTATGTTAATGGAATTTAGCATCAAAAGCAATGTACATCAAATTGAAATGAAGAAATAAACATAAAAAATATGAAGCATCTCATCTTATTCTTTTCTCCATTCAGTGAGAACTAAGAAGGAAGCACTGTGGGGGGGGGGGGCTCTGAGGAAACATGCATAAGAATCTATCTTTGGGTTGTCTAAATTCTATCAGGGAATGTTAAACACAAAAGTAACAATAATATGAGATAAGATGTGATATGCGCCATAAAGAAAGGTACAAAATATCAGGAATTTAATGAGTGATTACTTCTGGTTGGTATAATTATGGTAGCTTGATTTTGAAGTTGGGATACTTCAGCTGAGACTGAGTTCAGATGGTGTTTCAGAGCTGGGCAGGGTGGCAGATATCAGTAACCTCAATGACTCAGGAGGCTGAGGAAGGAGGATCAAGTTCTGTGCCGGCCTCAGCAACTTAGTGAGACCCTGTGTCAAAATGAAAAGTAAAAAGGGCCGGGGGATGTAGCTCAATGGCAGAGTACCCCTAAGTTCAACCCTTGGTACAAAGAAAGGAAGAAAAAAAAAGTATTTCAGATAGGGGAGATTTCATAACCATGGGGAGCTGGGGAGATGAGAAACAGAGCTGGAACACAAGTAGTGTGTGAAGAATCAGCCAGAAAAAAAAGGCTGGAGGGAGATGAGGTCTCTGGCCCTGTGGAGCAGTGGATGGCACTGCAGACCAAAGCAGGCGTTGAACAAGACTTGGAATGATCTGAGAGTAGGTCTTAAGGTGAATTTTCTCAGTAGTGGTGAATGAGACAGATTAGACTGGAGAGAGATTGGAAACTATTAGAAGACTATTGAAATAGTCCAGGGCAGGGGTAATGAGAGTCTGAAATAAGAGTGGATGCAGTAGAATGCAATTTCTTGATAGAGTGGATCCCAGAAGTCTTAGCAAAGGAACTCAAGTCATTCCGTTTTTCAGGAAGCAAGAGAAGGTGAAGCAGTTTTTGTTCTCTATTTTCTAAATCACATTTGCTACTTTGGAAGAAAGATAAAATTTTCATTATATAATTGAAGAATGTATCAATGTCATGGTAGGACTGAATTGTTCACTGGGTGCTTTCAAGTATACCAATTATATTAATTCCATTAATATAATTTTAAAACACCTTTTCTAATTTTTAGCTAAGAATTTTAATTGAAAAAGTAATACACACACAAGGCAAAATTCCAGTGAAGAGTGATGTATGAAATGAAAATGCTCTCATCTAACAAGCTCCTGTTCTAGAGGCAACTACTGTTATCACTTTTTGAAATGCAGTTTGAAAATGTCCTCTGCATTCAAAAACCAATACACATGCATACACATACTCTCCTCTGCCTTTGGTTCAAAAGCTCCCATTTGCTACTTAATTTTCTTCTGTTCTGCTTCCATTATGCATGCTCTCACGGAAGGCTTCTTAACCTCTTCACTATTGACATTTTGTATTGGAAATTTTTTGTTTTAAGGAACCTGTCCCAAGCATTGCAGAAGTTTAGAGCAATGTGTCCAGTAGGTAGACAAATCCCCCAATTGTAATAGCCAAAAAGGTCAAATGTTTCCTGGGAGTGTGGAGCAGGGAAAAAAAAATCATCCTTGTTGAGAACCACTGTTTCGATAAAACATGTGTATCAGTCTTAATTTTATTAAACCCAGCTGTTATGTCTTTCTACCATAAGTCCTTCAAACCTTTTATGTCAGGCATGACATCACAATCATTTCTTTTTTCTTTTTCCTGATATAGCACTTTTCTCATCTACCTGCCTCTCTAGCAGTTGTTTAATGAAAGGAATAAACGGCATGGAAGGCAATTAATGTTACCTATCCTCATCACTATCAAATCCTCTCTCTAAAAAAAAATAGTAACCAAATGCATGCAAATCATTTTCCTGGGTAGTTTGGTAGGTTATATTAGAATTATAAGTTTTCACGTTACTTAGTTTTCATGCTATTTGGAGAGGCAACAATTGAGCTATGTACTAGTCCTAACTAGCTCAGGCAGAGCATTTGGTGTCCAAATAAATGATGCAGAGATAAATGCTATCAAATTTAGAGGAAGTAGAGAGGGGAATTTTATACTTGGGACAGTAGATAGTTTTTGAGTGAACTATTCAAAAATTAATTAGAAAGAAAGAGCAAGAGAGGAAGAAAGGGACAGAAAAGAAAAGCTACATGTATTAGTTGGAATGATCATCACTGCTAGAGCTACCAACATTCTGATAAAGCTAATAACATACAAATCAAATAATTCCTGCTGAAATTTTGAGAGGTTGGCTTTTGTTCTTTCAAGTGATCCTGAAGACCTGAACTGGATGGTGCTTAAGAATAGCAAATGCTAGATTTCTAAGTGATATTATAAGAAGACAAATATTCTAAGAAATATAATGCTTAAGATATGTGCAAAGAAAACTTTTCCCTCCATCCATTTTATCCTTCTGTAAACATTGCTGTGTGCCATGTGTGTGTCAGCCCTGTGCCAGGTACCAGAACAGGATCTGTGAACAGGATACTGGGCAGGATTAGATCCTCATGGGGATTTGATCAAATAAACAGATTTTTTTTTTTTTGCATAGAGAATATATGAATTCTCTGAGCAATTCTAGTGTCATTTCGAATCTCCAAACCATCTGCATTCATACTGCATATTTATGGTCCATTGTCTCTGTACATAGTAAAGGCAATTAAATATTACCTTATAAACCTTCCAAATATGTCAGAAATTATAAGGTACACTGACCACAATAATTGATTTGCCGCTGCAGTGCTACTCCCTCAGGACAGAGAGGCAGCAGATATTGTATTTGTGTAAAATAACTGCCTGAATGTTTGGGTGAGGCAGTGAGGAATCACTAATCAAACTGAATAGAGAGAATGTTGAGAAAAGAGAATATAATTATCCAGTTGGAATTTGGCCAGTATTGTAAGACAGATTCTCTTCATTCCCCAGGAAGAGAGCATTCCAACTTTAAGTTGTGCTGTGCTTCAACTATTAATGTATTTCTGACTCAGCTAAGAGACACCATATGATCTTTTGAATCTCCACCAGTCCTACCTTCTTGGCAACCCCAATGAGGAGTTCCAAGCCCTAAGAACTTGGATATGAGTCATGAAAACTTTATTCAGGGAAAACTCATTTCTCTTTTGTAGACAGGAACATTTATATCATAGACATTTAGAAAAGCTCCATTAGTGCTTAGGGCTGTAAGCTCTCTGAATGAAAGGTAGAAGTTGTGGTACCAAATACATCAGTATCAACTCACTGCCAAAAGCTGCATGCTGCTTAGAAAACAATCTACACAATACAAAATCCAGGAGGATAAGGGATTATCTGATCACATACTCCTTGAGCATTTTTTAAAAGCTATGACCCCCTTCTCTGTCTCTCTCTCATATGCACGCATGCTAACAAAAGTGTGTGCACATGCACGCACACACACACACACACACGCACACACACACATGCGTGCACACACACATACGTGCCCCCTAAGCAATTTCAGAAGTGGGGCATCTGTTTTCATTGAATTCAGTCCAGGTTTAGAAGCTATAGTTTGGTGAACTTAATTGTTTAGAGACTGCCGATTCAGGAGAGGAAACCTAAATTCTTCCTTGTAACATGGGAACTGCTAAAAAAAAAAACAAAAACAAACAAACAAAAAAAAACACCCTTCTATTACCTGCATGCTCTCTAATTGAAGAAGAGGGTTCAATTAAATTGCATATAAAGGGAACATGCAAGTTGAGTTGCTTGATCTTACTATATAACTATCCTTATATGATCAGAAACCAGATTCTATTTTTCCTGCCTTTCAAAGAAATGATATAAAATAATATAAGCCTTAAACTCACTATTGCTTTTCTTCCAATGATAAGCTCCTTGGGGTTAGCCACTTAAAAACACATCCAAAATTATTTTAATTACACATTCTAAATACTTTAATGTTACCAACATTTCATGAGTTTTTACTCAGAACAAGTTAAGGTTCTGAATCCAGTAATTCAACTTGATTTTTCCTTGGGGTATTTAGAATAAATTACTCAACACCTCAATGAGCCTATGTACTTTGAAGTTACTTCTTCAAAAACACTGTTTTTTATTGAAGACTCAGAAAAGGGTTTACATCATCTCACTGGGTATTCTTTATTCTTTAAAAAGAATCTTTGGTCTAGTCCTTACAGCAGGGGGCACTCATTTATCTCCTCTTCTTCTCTTTACTATTATTCATTACACTGGAACATATTGAGATATTCAATCAACACATTTATTGATTCTACAAGGCATTGTGTCAGAAGGGATGATCTCCTGGAGAATATGATCTACTATCAAAGACAAGACATACACCACATAATACAAACTTAATGTTATAACTGTATTCATAGTTTTACTTGAAGAAGTTAAATATACTTCTTGCTAGATTTACTTGGCAAGTGATAGCTGAACTTTACTTCTGAATTCCATGGTAAATAGAAAATTTAATATTCCTGTTTTTAAAAGCATTATTTTATTCTGTAAAGAATAATGTTTCTTAAAAATTGATATTCATTTCTTACCAGACAGGGCTGTCAAATTTGCATCTTTGATGAAAATTTCAGTTATTCCAAGACCCTTCAAAATGTCTTTTAAGTCAATTTCCTGTTCAACTGTGAACCTGAAAAACATGTAGAGATAAAGTATTTAGTTACAGAATCTTGTTACTTTGGACAAGAATTAACTGTTAAATATGTTGATTCAAAAACTCTGTTTTGTAGAGGGTAAATTATGTTAAAACTTGGTTTTTTTCAGAGGTGGGTACTGGGGATTGAACTCAGGGACACTTAAACACTGAGCCACATCCCTTGCCCTATTTTGTATTTTGTTTAGAGACAGGGTCTCACTGAATTGCTTAGCATCTTGCCATTGCTGGGGCTGGCTTTGAACTTGCAACCATCCTGTCTCCGCCTTCCGAGCAGCTAGGATTACAAGTGTATGCAGCACCACCATGCACTGCTAAACTTGGCTTTTGATTGCAAGAAGCGTTTGATTGTTCTTTTAGAAACAGGGGGCATCAAAGACAATGATGTAACAGAATAAGATTTAATTTCATGAGTTAGAAAAAATATGATACAGACAAAACTGCAATATACAGTCGAATAAATGAATTTTGAAATCAAGAATCATTAATTGCTATGTAAATCTTATAAACAAGTATCTTTCAAAATCTTTTGGCCTAGTATCTACTATGTTTGATTTTTCAAGCTGGTAATAATCATAAATTTATCCAATGTATTTTATTTTTTACTTAGTATTTTGGTCAATTTATGCTGCGCATCCATCCTCTACCATGGACAGGATTAAATAAGAGACAAGTTCTACTATAAAATTAATGCATTCAGCATTTCAACTCCACAACAACTATCACATTAAAAATGCATCTTCATAGTTAAACTAACTTTGAGAACATAAATAAGGGTGTTATCAAAATATCATCACTGATCAGTGAAACTGAGTAAAATATCACATTCTAAAAACTGTAGGCATTTATAATGAAGAGTTTTTTTTAAACAAAATAAAAGTGGCTTTTTATTTTTTTATTTTATGAACTTAATGAGTTATACATAAATGTGCACCAATTTTGTAAAAAGAAAAACAACATTAAATGTAGTGGTAATAAACAGAATATTAACTTTAAAAATGGTTTCCACACTAGAGCCATATTGGTTAATATGGAATCTCCCCCAAACCAATGAATTGTATCACCAATCTTTGTAGTGACAATTATGGACCAACATGCCTACATTAACACATACACTTTTAAAAAGGAAAGATGTTTATTAATTTTTAAGAAATCATAATACTGGTCAGAAGTAAACATTTTCCTTTTTCTAAGATGTTGCTTTTTGATAAATACAGCTTATCAATATAAATTTTTAGGCAATAGATTATGCCTTTAAATGAGTTATATCTATGACAGTCACTAAAATTATATCAGCAATATTTCTGATGTCTTAAGAAGATTTAGAAGGAAATAATTTTTATAAACAAGCCCAGATATGAAGAGGATTGATCATGGAAAATCAGTTTTAGCAGGTTTATGCTTATGGAAAAATAAGTTCAACAGAAAGGTAATATGCAATATCAAACATATTGATGTAAATATTGAGTTCTACCACATTTTATACTTAAACTTGGATTTAATATTATTTATTTTGTTTTATACCAAAAGTAAACACTGATCATAAAAATAGAATTGTTCTAGGGTACACAGCTCACAAAAGGAACAGGTAAGAAAATCCAGTGTCTCAGAGAACACCCCAATGGCTCAGGGTGTATGTGTGTGTGTGTGTGTGTGTGTGTGTGTGTGTGTGTGTTTATTTTTGAGCACTTATAAGGAGCTTCCTATATATCAAAAACTGTCCCAAAAGTTTAAACACCACATTAATTTAAATGTCACTCCACTTGGCAGGTATTATTAGTATTATTCTGGGGAATAGAAAAAAAGAAACTAAGTGGCAGAAGGTTAAATAACTTGACCAAGGTCATTCAGCTATTAAGTGGCAGAGGTGGAATCTAGATTCAAGTAGAATTATATAATATCCTGATTCATTTAAAATAGGAAAGTAAAAGAAAATACCAGTAGTGGGTTCTTTATACTTCTTAAAAGCAACTTGATTTGTTTCATACTCTGGCTGGCCGGTCAGGCAAAGATGAGAAATTTATCCAGGTGAACTTGAGCGAGTTCCTTAATTGTTGACCCTCAATTTTGCGTATGGAAAATGGCAATTATAATATGTACTTCAAAATATTGTTAAAAGGATAAACAAAGCCTCTAATAATCTTCAGATGGGGATGGCATGGGTGGACATGCAGTGTAGGGCAGAAACTATCAACACTGCGTATCATATTATATGTCATGTAATCATAGGTACTCTATGTTTGCGTACTAGTAGTATTTGGAATAATTTGGTTAAATAACTAGATTAGTCCCTGCTACTTTAATTATAAATTAGTTAAATCTAGTATTTGTTCATTTCAGTATTTATAATATCTTGCATAGGACAAACCATATAGATCAAAATGAAATAAAATCTTGGAGTTCATAAGATGTTTTGTTCAAAGTTAAAGAAAGATGTAAATAATCTCCATTTATCCATGTCTTACCTATTTTTCTTGCTAACCCATTGAAAATAGTTATAATTCAATTATTATATCTTTCCTCTTAATATAGACTAATTATTAATATAAATAATCTTTGTCATCTCTCTACCTTGAATGCCTCCTATATCCCAAGCACTATGAAACTCACTATGCATGTAGTATCCCATTTAATCCCTTCCATCATGATCTCAAAAAGCACAATGATAGGTATTATTTTTCTCTAAGATGTAGAACAAATAGAAGTTTAGAAAAGTTGTGCAACTTGACCTAAGTACACAGGTAACAGGTGGTAGAATATGAGGATATGAACTAAGGTCTTTCACCAATTACTATAATTTCAATAATGGTTTTTAAAAATAAAAAAAAAACATTACAGGGAGATTGTACTTTTCACTTCTTAAAATAAAAGGCCACAACACTACTTCTTATTTTTTTATTTACTTTTTTGAGGTACTGAGGATCAAATCCCAGTCCTCATGCATGCTATCACTGAGCTCTATCACTGAGCTACTTCCCAGCCCCATCACTATTTTTAAAGACAAAAGGAATACCTATTTTAACAAAGACAAATAATATCATCATACACTTGAAACTTTCTATTTGAATAAGTTCAAGACTCATGTAAAGGGAAGAAGCATGAAAGCTGAGGAGAAATGTGAAACAAGTGTTAGAAAAAAAATATATATATCCCATGTAGAAGATTATAAAATCTGTAAGCAGTCGAGAAATAATCAAACCTTTTGTAGAAAAACCCAAAAGAGAGCATTCATTTTAAAGAACTAAATCATATGGCTTATGATATTTGTCTTTTAAACACAAGAAACTAAAATGCTTTATTAATAGATAATAGTTTCAAAGCAACAGGATGGTTGGTGGTTACAAAATGGAGCAGTACTTCACATCTTTTGATTTCCAGTACTCTGATCAAAAATGAGAAATCTGAGACTACAAAAATCAGATGGAATGAGAGCACAGCAAGGTGCATTTCCATAATAAGTATTATGATATTTGATGTTAACTCTAGAAAGATACTCTCACACCTAAGTAAAGACTGTCAAGGAAGGGCACACAATGGAGAGAGCAAAATTCAAGAGAGAAGAGTGCTTTTTTTTTTTTATCTGTTCAGATAAAAGTATATGTAAAGCTGTCTATAAGATTAACACAAAATAAGTACTAGGACTTAAAATGAACACTTAGCCAATAAACATTAATAGAATAACCATATGATGCTTACTCTTTGTTAGGTATTATTCCAAAGTGCTTTTTAGATATATACACATATATTTTATATATTAGACAATTGTTTTTTGTTTTTGTTGCTGTAGTGAAAAAATTGGAAGAAGATCTGGCAATCTTCTTTAAATCTTAAAGATGTACAACTGTGTATAAACATTGTGGTATTTCACTGGGTTTGATAATATAACAAGGAGGTATAGCATCTTACATACATTTTTGTATTTTGAATAAAAGTTCAATTTCAATTCAGCATCTAGTTCTTGTGGAATTTATTGTTCAGGGGGAAAAAATCGGAAGAGTACAAAAGTAATTGCTCCTTCTCCACTGCCACCTGCCAAATACCCTATCCTTGTTAAGGAGATTGTTTAGAATATGTTTGTATAAGATCCAGTCTGGTAGAAAGCAAAAGTATCTTTCAAGCAGGAAAAGAATCTGGTCAAATTATAGAAACCCAAGTTTGTTCTTTCAAGCAGGTCAAATTACAGAAATGCAATTTGCCCTCTCAAGCAGGACAAGAACATGGTCAAATTACAGAAATGCAAGTTTGCATTTTCAGAATAATAACTCTACATGAATAAAACTATACAAATAATTTGATACAGAGTAAACCTAGAATACAGCTATTAGAAATATTTTTACCTTTGCTGAAACTGGGTCACACAAATCATTACCTTCTTTGAACATTTAGTGGATCCTAATGCTATAAAATGGAGGGAATGGACAGTTTCCCATTGGTTACTAGAACATGCAAGTATTTTAAAACTGTCAATCTGTTAAAAAGGGAAAAATATTTATTTTATTTAACTATTTAGTTAGCCTTCTTATGTGTGCATTAGCCATGCAGAAGGAAAGTTTGTAGAACTCCTGGAAAAATGGATAGATGATATTAGCTGTGCCTGGTTTAGTAACAGGCATTAACATGAGCAAGTGAGCTAAACTATTTCATAATTGAAGAGTATTTCTTAGAAAATGAAAATTTAATTTTCTTCTGCTGCCACATTCAATTTCTCAGTGGACAGCACCCGAAGGCCACATTTTCTTATGAACATGGTCGAATTAGAATATATAATACTTATTAAGTATTCATTTAGCATTCTGTTAAAATACTCCAAAATGACTATATCTTCACAGAATTGAAGCTTTTGCAGAGAGTATACTTAACTTATGGAATTTAATAAGGGAAGCATTAGTACTGCACTGAATTTCTCATATTATCAAAAGAAATTTTCTATAAAATTCAAGGGAAAATACAAAAATAATAATAAAATTTTACTAAATGATGGTTAACATGGACTAAACGGTTTGAAAGGTTAGACCTTGCAAGGTCCTTGCTAAACATCTAGACAGCATCTTAAGTGATAGCTGTCATTTTTAAGAAAAAGTTTCAGGGCCTTTCTGAGAAAGGCTCACCACTTCCTCATACCAACCCCACCTTTAACACTCCGCCCTGCTCTAATCTCTGAGCCTGTCCCATAAAAGTCCCAGAACTCAAGCCTGTGTTGCCTCTCTCCATCTATGGAGAGATGGGCCTTTATTTGTCAGCTCTGACAAATAAACTCTCCTTTGTATCTCTGCCTGGTCTCCATCTTTCATTTCTCACTTGCTCATCTCCTGGTTCCTCACTTTCCTTTCAGACCTAACTTAGATAATAATTTGATAATTAAATTGAATCACTACTGTTTAAAAGAATATTGTTCTTTGGAGTTAAGATACATTGTTTATATATTGAGTATGTTAAAGTCAATTATATATTTTCAAAATTGGCTTTGTTAGATATTCACTGACTACTTCTCCTTGAAAATAGAATCACAGTGACATCTTTCTATATAAATCTATTGTTATATTGACAAATTTCTAGACATATGTGACTTGCATAAACTGAATCAGGAAGATATAGAAAACCTAAAGAAACCAATATCAAGTAATGAAATTGAAACAGCAATTAAAATCTTCCAAAATAAAAGCAGAAGGCCATATGAATTCTCAGCTGAGTTCTTCCAGACCTTTACAGAAGAACTAATACCAGTCTTTCCCAAATTTTTTCATAAAATTGAAAGCGAAGGAACACTTCCAAGTACATGCCACAAAGCCAGTATAACCCTGATACCAAAAGGAAAGATGCACCAGGGAAAGAAAACTACAGACCAATATCCCCAGTGAATATAGGGGCAAAAACCTTTAATAAAATATTAGCAAACTGCATTGAGAAACATCAAAAAACTAATATACCATGATCAAGTAGGTTTCATTCCAGGGAGGCAATGTTGGTTTAACATAGGCAAATCAATAAATTTAATTCACCACTTAGAATTAAGGACAAGAATCAAATTATCATCTCAATAGATGCAGAAAAGGCTTTTGATAAAATCCAGCACCCATTTAGAATTTACCTCAACATTGTAAAGGCCACTTACAATGGAACCCAAAGCCAAGATCATACTAAATAGAGAAAAACTAAAAGCATTTCCTCTAAAATAGGAACAAGACAATGCACTCTTACTACTCCTATTCAATACAATCCTTGAAACATTAGCCAGAACAATCAGACAAGAATAGGAAATTAAAGGGCTACAAATAAGAAGAGAGAAGTCAAACTGTCTCTCTTTGTTGATGACGTGATCCTGTATTTAGAAGACCCCCACGCCCCAAAAAAAGAAAACTCCGCCAGAAGACTTCTAGAGCTTATAAGTGAATTTAGCAAAGTAGGAGATACAAGATCAATTCCCCAAAATAAATAGCTTTCCTATACTACAACAGTGTTTCAACCAAGGAAGAAATTGGAAAAATCACACTATTCACAATAATCTCAAAAGAAAAGAAAATCTTGGGAATTCATCTAACCAAGGAAATACAAGAGCTCTATGATGAAAATCAAAGAACATTAAAGAAAGAAATTAAAGAAAACCTTAGAAGATGGAAAGATCCCACGTTCTTGAACAGGCAGAATAAATATTATTTAAATGGTCGTACTATCAATAGCAATATACAGATTTAATGTAGTCCCCATCAAAATACCAATAACATTATTCACAGAATTAGAAAAAACAATTCTTAAATGCATTTGGAAGAATAAGAGAACCAGAACAGCCAAAGTAATACTAAGCAAGAAAAGCAAAGCAGAAGGCATCACAATACCTGATTTTGAAATTATATTACAGAGCTGTAGTAACAAAAACAGCATGGTATTAACATCAAAATAGACAGGAAGATCAATGGAACAGAATACAATATGCAGAGATAAATCCATATACCTACAGAGAACTGATATTTGACAAAGGTGCCAAAAATAAATTGTGGAGAAAAGACAGCCTTTTAAACAAATGATGCTGGGAAAACTGGATATGTAGAAAAATGAAACTGGAAACCTATCTTTCACCCTGCAAAAAACCTCAAATTGAAATAGATTGAAGACTTAAGAATTAGATCAGAAACCTTACAATCTCTAGAAGAAAATGGTCAACGTTCCATCACATAGGTGCTGGCACCAACTTCTTTAACAAGACCCCCAAAGCACAAGAAATAAAACCAAGAATCAATAAATGGGATGCTATCAAGCCAAAAAGCTTCTTCACAGCAAAGGAAATGAGGAAGAGCATGAAGAGAGAGCCAAAAAATAAGAGAAATTCTTGGTCAGCCACTCCTCCAATAAGGGATTAATAAACAAATGACTCAAAAAACTTAACACCAAAAAAATGAACAAACAGACAAACAAACAAACAAAAAAACACCCCAAAATATCGCAGTCAATAAATGGGCAAAGAACTAAGCAGAAACTTCCTAAAAAGAAAAACCACAAATGGCTAAAAACCATGTTTGTTCAACAACTTTAGCAATCAGGGAAATCCAAATCAAAATTATACTAAGATTTTCATCTCATGTAAGTTGGAAAGGCAGACAATGATCAAGAATACAAATAATAATAAATGCTGGTGAGGTTATGGGGGACAAGTTACACTTGTACATTTTTGGTGAGAATGAAGACTAGTATAACCACTCTGCAAAGTAGTATGGAGATTACTCAGAAAACTAAGGATAGAACCACCAAATGACCTTGCTATCTCACTCCCTGGTATTTTCCTAAAAGATCTAAGATTGGTATATAAACATTAAGATGGCTATATACAGTGATATAGTCATCTTAATGTTTATGGAAGCACAATTCACAACAACTAAAATACAGAATTAACCTAGGTACCCATCAGTAGATGAATGGATTAAGAAATTGTGAAATATATATATATATATATATATATATATATTCTACTCAAAATGGAGTTCTACTCAGCCATAATAAAAGAATAAAATTATGGCATTTGCCAGTAAATAGATGGAAAGGGAGACTGTCATGCTAAGTAAAGGAAGGAAAACTCAGAAAGTCAAAGGTTAAATGCTCTCTCATATGCAGAAGCTACAATAAAATAAAGAAAAAGAGGAGGGAAGGATAGGATAACATAAAGGGAAGATCAGTAATGTAGAAGAAAGAAATCAAGAGACAGAATAGAATATAGAGGGATAGGTAAGGGGAGGCAATGCAGAATGAATTCTTTAAAACTCATATATGTGCATATATAAATATACCACAAGGAACTTCACTTTTATGCACAGGGAGAAAAAAGCAATCAAATACAAACAAACAGATGAGTGAAAGAAAGCCCAGTAGAGTGGAGGAAAGAGAACATGGCAGGGGAAGGCAGATGGGAGGAGAAAAGGGTGGGGATCATGAACTGAAATCAATTTGCATGATGTATGTTTGTCAGGATGAACCCTACTACTATGTATAACTATAAAGCTTTAATTAAAAAAAGAAAATTACTGTCAAGGAAAATGATACATATTAATCTCCTAGCCAAAACTAAAACAATTGAGCAATTTGGGTTGTTATTACCTTTTTTTATAAGCAGACAATGGTATGTGTGGTTATATATTATATTTGGGTAGATTATGAATATATAACATAATTTTCTAGCTAAAAATATCTGCAGTTTCTAATAGATCTCCTTAACATACACAACTAAGTGTTTATTGAAAAATAGGCATTTACATAAGACATAAATAACATTTAAATAAAAATTCCTAAATCAGAATAAATATGACTGAGTTTTAATAATTCAGCTTAAAATTATTGTCCTATTTACCAACTTTCAATATTCATATACAAACACATTTTCTTAATAAGTGTTAAAACTGTACTGCCACATATACACATAGATGATCTGTTATATACTGATATGTCTTGTTTTCTAGTTGAAATACACATATTATGTCGATAGACAGGTTATATGTGGTAACTGATGTAGCTTTCCTACTAGGTTTTAAGGTATTCATACATAGAATAAATATTTTCACTTACCGTGTCCCTCTGATGGGACAGAAAAGGGGCACTATTCTTAAATCACAGAAGGAAAGCAAAACTCACAAAAGGTAACGTTATTGTGGGATGGTAACAGGTAATAACATGGAGGTGCAAAAGCAACCAAGAGGGAGGGTCACCTGCTCCAACAGGCACTTCATGGAGGGATTTCTAGAAGAACTGTGTCCAAGCTGATCCTAAAGTCTAAATAAACAATTTGGGGCAACAAAATGTGAGGAGCACATTTTGGTAAATGCAAATAAATGGAGACCCAGACATGAAAAGAACATGGTGCATGTGGCAATACTACAAGCACATGGATGGCACATGCTACCAAATGTTGATGTGATGAGTGGCCAGAGGTGAGGCAGATGGAGTAAATGGTGGTCAGGACATTCTGGTAGCACAGATCTTATTAATTTTGAGCACAGTTGCGTCTTCTTGCTTATTTATGGTTATATCTCAGCACCTAGCAAAGTGACTTTCTTGCAGTTCTTAATGACAGAGATGGTTTTCTCTTGAGCTGTAATCAACTTTCATAACGATTTACAGAAGACTGTCAAAGCAAGTGAAATTTGGAGACATTTGGTTGAAAAAATATCTTATAGAATGAAGCTAAGGATATTGAATCATATCTGAACATGGGTCTTGTATATTGTACTGAATGAATCAATAAATGAATGTATGTCTCTGAGCAGGACCATTTGAGTATGAAAGAATCTGAAAGAGCAGAAAAAGGAAAAGAAGAAAGAGGTGGGGGAGAAGAGAGAGGAGAACACTTAAAAATTAAAAAACAATTGCAAGAATGTTTCTGAGTCAACCCATCCCCTCATGCTGTGGGAGGGATCACACAGGACCCCTCACCTGGGCAGGTATACTTCCACTTTTTGCTTCTTCACAGAGTTGGCCCATTCTTCAATCAGCTGTGCTTTGACCAATGGCTCCAGAGTGGCCAGTGGAACTTCCTGTCTGGACAGTACCAGCATCATGCTTATCTCATCTCCCTCATATGGTATTTCTAGGACTTGGTAGATACCACCAGCTTCATTGGATCCATCACTAAATTCCCCTAAAAAAAGGAAAGAAGTATCATAAAAGACCCATTTTTTAAAAGAAATTAAATTTGTTATAACTTTCTTGTTCTAGTATGTGTGAAATAAGAAATTCTGTCATCTGAAAAAAAGAGTTCATTTGAAAATACACCCTGAAATTTAAATGATTCTTCAGTCCTATAAAATTTATTTAATTTTAAAATCCTCAGAATTATTTCACATAGTTATAATCTATTCTCTAAACTTATTTTTTTAAATGAGATTTTTCAATATATTTAAAGAGTATCATTAGCAACAATGAAAAACTCTGGTTAGAACAACAAAGCCCTGGCTTCAAGTTGGAGAGAAAGCACATTTATCATCATCTGCCCTTTTTGGTGGGTGTAGGGGTACTGGGGATTGAACTCAGGGGCACTTGACCACTGAGTCACATCCCTAGCCCTATTTGTATTTTATTTAGAGACAAGGTCTCACTGAATTGCTTAGTGCCTAGTTAAATTGCTGAGGCTGGCTTTGAACTCCCAATCCTCCTGCCTCTGCTTCCAGAGCTACTAGGATTACAGGCATGCGCCACTGAGCCAGCCTCTGCCTATTTTCAAAGAATGGGAAACCTGACTTTGAAATACTTGGTACTCTGATATCACCACAACTGTAAATTGTAAGGCCAAGGGTACACAGCTGAAATGAAATCTAAGCCTCCTTCAAGAGTTGTCTAGTGTATTTATGATGAATAAGATCTCCAAATCAGGTAATTAGGTAAACACGGTAAATTGGCTTTGTATTATATGAACTTAGCCAAATTATTTGGGCTTTAAAAAGTCTTTTTAAAAACAGCAACAAAAATAAAATTTATGTCCCACTGCTTTAAATTTTCTCCATTTTCAAAAATAAGTGTAATGCTTTTCTTATGAATATTTTCCTATAGCAGACATAGGTTTTTTTAGACATCAAACTAAACATTTTGATTTTCATATAAGTGGGTATTTTTCTTTCATATTTTGACTATGAACTTATTAATAGGAATTATACTCTTTCAACATTAAACATACTCTGAAATAGAATATTCTAACATATATTTGGCTTAAAATACATTTCTGCTTATGACTTAACAAATTATTACAATTCAATTTTGTATATAGGAAGAAACTTCTAAAGGGTGCCATAAAACATCTTTGAAAATAATGCCAAAGAGATTGAATAATATATTTGACCACAAACTGTAGACTCTCGATAATTGAAACTGTGAAGGAACAATGATTTCTGGACACACACACACACACACACACACACACACACACACACACACACACCCTTGATATCTATCAAAATTTTAAAGAAATAGAAAAGTTTCTCGTGTAAGAAGAACGCTTATAAATCAAAATGTGATAAGAAACTCAAATCAAATCTTTTAGTGAATCACATAGTACACTAAAAACATCCCAAAGTCAGTGATTTAGAGAACAAATCAGAACATTTTTGCACAATGCCAGATTTTTTTGGATGAATAAAGCCCACTCAGCAGGTAGGATCAGCTTTATAAATTTAAGAAACATATTGAAAAACTGTCAATGTATATGATATTCACTCAATATCTAATTACAAGTCTTTGAAAATGCAGCCAAGGAAACTGAATTGTAGCCCAAATTAGATCAACAAAGAGTGTGAGTAGTGAATATTTCATGTTATTTCTTAGAAATCTGTCAATATGCTACAAGAGGAAAGAAAAAAAAATGTTTTACCATAATAAAATTCTCCTTGTTGATACATCATTGGAATCTGTACTTCACTTTCATCATCTTTAGTGAAGGAAAAGGTTCTAGTATTTTCAGGTCTAAACTGTGACTTCCAGTTCCCCTTGAAATAGACAGCATTGATGAGGGCCAGATGAGTGGCAGCATCAAAATCCCTTGGGGACACCAAATCTTTTAGCAGATCTATTTGGAGAAACATAACCAGATGAAAATTCAGTTAAATTGGAAATTGAAGGGGAAATCAAAAGATTATCAATCCACTAACAGAGTGGTCCATAAAAATTATACACTAAATTTAAAATTAAAAATAAAAATTATCTTTCAAAGGAAAAATGTTACACATGTATGTGATTATAGAAAAGACAATTAAGGGTATCAAAACAACAATGCTACCTAACATAATACTAACATCAACTTAACATCATCTTTTTTTTTTTTTGACACCCAAACTACAGAGACACACATATGATAGAATCTCAGCCTTCACTGCTATCTAGTTGCAATAGTGCATATGACACTCCTGACACAAAGTAAGCACTCAAATGTTTCTAAATGTATGGGTGAACAGCTGATTAAATGCCATCCAATCCAAACTTTCCCCCTGAGAATACTGGACATCTTCCTGCCAATGCAACAACTGCACCTGACAAGGTGACATCAAATGAGCTAAAGCAAATGGAACTCATGATGCATTGTTTTCTATCTTTTGAAATGCTCAAATCGATTTTGAAAGATATTGGGTCTTTACTATTTGCTAAATGTGTCTAAAAGAGTTTGAAAACTGACAGATTTTAATAATTTAACCTTTTTCAGGTAGGTTATTATTCTTGATTTTATTATCTGAATGCCAAAAAAAAAAAGAAAGAAAAAGAAAAAGAAAACCACTAAAATGCATATCTTCTATTCTACATTTTAATCTCTATTTGAAAAACAGGACTGGAACTTGCTCTGTAGTCTCTCATTATCTTGGTCATAGCAATTATTTTTTTTTTAATGTCTTTATTTTATTTTTTTTTATGTGGTGCTGCAGATCAAACCCAGTGCCTCATTCACGCTAAGCAAGTGTTCTACCTCTGAGCCACAACCCCAGCCCCTGGTCATAGCAATTCTTAAGGTACAGGATGTCTTAGCATTTTATGAATTATAGTGTTCAGTGTATCTGATTAGGATTTTTTTTTTTTTATTCCAACTTAAAATTTTAGATTACCATTATTTGGGGAATTGATGTAATGAACAGCTAATCTACCTTTAATTAGTCTTTTTAGATTTTAATTTCATTTATTTTTGTGGGTAAAACTGGAAAATAAAATGCTTAAAATATGAAACATATGGAAATCTTAAATTCATATAAGAAATGAAATTTAAAATAAAATATATCTTTTTCTAATTTCCAGCTAAAATTGGGCTGCTTTTAAAAAAATAAATCCTACTCAAATTGTTTTATAATCAATCAATTTTTGTGGTTCAAAAGCCAGTAAATATCTTTAAATTCTGATTTTAACTAATTCTATTTTAATCATATTGCTAAGAGTAACCTCTGCCATTCTATCTAACAATAATTTATCAGTCAGCTCAAGCAACATTCCATATAGTACTTACCATTACTATTCAGAAACCCATCAATAAGAGCCCAGATTTCAAGTGATTAGTGCCCAAATCCTTTCCAATGCCTAAAGATCTAACTTCTTCCTTAGTGTTCATTCATAAGCAATATCTCTAAAATGGACTGTAGCCTACACAAAATTGTCATTGCATACCCAACTCAATGCTATCTAACATTCAAAATGTGAAAGGAGTGAGGGGACAGATAATTTCAGAAATAAAAGATGCTTAAAACTAAGCTATTAAAGAAAGAAAGAACATACTATTTGTGTTATTTTCCACCCACTTATTGATGTGATTGGCCACAGCTACATTTTGACTGAAATCCACATGATTTACTTCTGCATTAAAGTATTTTTTCAACATTTGCAAAAACTCATCATTGATATGAAATCCATTTTGCACAAAGAGGGAATTGGCAATTTTCATCACATATTGGCTCTCTTCAGCAGCTACCATGTTTGAAAAATCCTTTAAAAAAGAAAGTTCATCTCCTGCAAGATGACAAAGACAAATTTGTTAGTGGAACAAACATGGCAAAAGATCAAGGATAGTGAAAGAACATTACAACCCAGCAAAGGACATTAGGAGAATAGGGACCCAAGGAAAAAACAGGATACTCTCTACATTGGCAATGGTAAAGTGGTTCCAATGCTTATGTCAGTTCTGGATGTTCAAATTAACTTTTTGCAGCTTACTATTCTCAACTGATATTATTTTATATTTCATTATCTTGCTAGAATCTACAAAGTAAGAGTGTTGTTTTTTTTTTTAAGTTCTGTCTCAAAGTACTCAGGTTACTCTCATTAAATGAGTCGTGTTTTATTTTGAAATTATCAGGAAGCACTAAGTTTAATTATCTAGTTTAAAATTCATGATATTCCTTTAAATTTTACTCTCATAGGACTTTTTAAATCTTGTAACTAGAAAATCCATTAGAAATTGTTTTAGTTCTTAACTTTCTTTTAAAAAAAACCAAAAACCTTTATTTTATTTATTTTTATGTGGTGCTGAGGATCGAACACAGTGCCTCACCAGTGCTAGGCAAGCGCTCTACCCCTGAACTACAACCCCAGCCCCTCGTTCTTAACTTTTTAATGAATTAATTCATATATACACTAGAAAACTTACAGTAGATACCATACATCATATCAAAATGACTAAAAATATCTTTTGGCTAGAAATTTTCTCTAATACATATAAGTTTAATAATAATAGAGTATTTCAAAAAAATATTGTTATTTATACAGTAAGTATAAAGTTGATTTTAAGCAAAAATTTCTGATATTCTCAGAAAACCAAGTTGCCTTCATCGCACTTATTACAGTTGTCATTTTGCATTCATTTGTATGATAATTGATGAATACAGGCCTTTCTAGACAGGAAACTCCAGAATTATTTTTTGTTTTTGTTTATATCATTTTGGGGTTTTTTGAAATGATAATCATTTTGAAAAGAAATAATTTCCCTAGATTCACTCAGCCAAGATGGAGTCAGGAATTAGCAAATTAACCTTTCTCTCTTCTTAATCCTTCAAGTTGGCCATGTCATCTCATAAGATCATTTCTTGCCCTGAGTAAACATTGCTGCCTCTGACATAGGACAACATAACTGAGTTCAAAGTTAAAGCCAAACCATCCTGAGAAGTCAAACTCAAGCACACTTACCATTTTTCAGGTTGTCATATCCCATTGAATGGCGGATTTCCTTTAGAGTGGACCCCTGAGCGCCAAGTTCCATCATTCCCATGGCAAGAGCAATACTCAATGGAGAGAAGAGAATATTTTCATCTTCCCCAGTGACTCGAAGATGGTTATACATATTCACTGACAACTCAGCAATGGTATCTTCAGAGAAAGTGGCCCCTACCACCATACTATATAGAACCAGCAAAGAGAATAGTCCAAGGAAAGCCATACTGGAATAGGTTCAAGCCTAAAAAAACAATAATTTGCATATTAATTGCCAGTTATCTCAAAGCTATAGAGTATAAAGTAAATATATAAGAGATTATTTCTTGGAAAATTTGTGAAGTGAACCAAACATTTCTAAACATACATAATATTAATAACTCTAACACAAATTAAGGATGTGTGGGAAAGTCCTCCTTTTTATTTATTCTTTTTTTTTTTTTGGTGCTGGAAATTGAATCCAGGACCTCATGCATGCCAAGCAACACGCTCCACCACCAAGTTAATCCCCCAACCTCAAAAGTCCTACCTCTAATGATTCAATTAATATTCAAATAAACAAATAACATTGCTAAGTTCTGAGGATTTTTTCAGGAACAAGATAACTATGATTCTCACCTTCATGAAGTTTAGAGTAAGTAAAAATACATATACAAGTAATTCTAAAGTCATGCTTGGTGAGGCTAGTTTAATAACTTCATAGCCTCACCACATATTTTGATCATGATTTTGAACCAACTTACCCTAGCTTCTAATAAGGTACATAGTTCTACGACAAGGGTAATGAAATTCCAAAGATGTTCACAGGGCTTGAGGTGAACTAGTGAAATTAGGCATTTGAAAATGTTGCTTTACCCATTTACTACAATTTATTAAATTAATACACCTTACAACTATGTTATCAGTTGATAAAAAGAGGTTAGACACACCCATGCCACAAGTCTCAGTTTATTCTGCCCAGGTCGCTGAACTCATGGAAAGTGATAACCAGATAGAGAAGGCGCAGACTCAACACAAGCCTGTGAATTGTTCTTCACATGCTGGTTCCTCTAGCCAAAGTTGAGAATGAAGTTGAATTCTTGCTACAAAATGGTCCTTTTGTACTCAGGCTTATGTTACCATTTCAGCTTATACTAACCAATTGGTGGTTGTTTTTGAAATGAGCATTTCTAACTATCAGGATTAGACAATTCTAGAACCAAACAGAAGGGCATCAAGGTCCCATTTTCCCTTGGGAAAAGAAAACATCATTCCCTGATCCTTCTGAGTTTCATTTTTGCCTCTCAACATGCCAGTATTCTAGCAGCCCTGTCTCTCCACCAATAGCCTAACCAGTACACACTGGGGACAGGATCCCCCCTTTTCCTTGTATTCTCCCACTCGGTCACTGCAGGCATCTGGAAAGCAAAACTGTTTATTCAAATAATTAAGTAACTTATTTACTCTTGATCAATTTTGAAACTCATTATTAAAATAACACATAAACTGCCACTGAATAAACACATTAGGAAAACTGCATTTTAATTAGGACTCGGCATTAACAGTCTCCTCCATTAATCAAATAAGAGAGTCCATACACATTTAACTGAAGAATAGTTTATTTCCAACAGGGTTTTGCGTCAGAAGAACCTAATTAGTCCTATAATGTTTGAGATTTTAATTTCAGAGAACTGCCTGGTCAATTTATAAGTTCTTCATATTTTTGAGTTAGAAGCATCTATTTATTTATTTTTTTTCCCAAGGTCCTCTCCCCTAACCCTTCCCTTCCTGCTTTTATATTTAGATTTGAATAATTCTAGCTTGTATATGAAGGCATGAGTCAATATGGACTCTTACAACCCCTGCTGCTAATGGAGTGGCTACTACTGGGGCAAGGCAAGCTATGTAGCTCATGCAGCCCTGGGACAGATGCCAGGTCTTAAGAACCTACCACCATTAGAAGGCTGCAGCTGCTGGAGCATTCTCACTTCTTTTTGTGCTCCAGAAAATTCTAGGACTAGATAGAAATAGAATAGATGGAAATTTCTCTCTCTAGGTTCAGGAGGAAATTTAACAAGTCCTCCTGTAAGTTATAAAAGGACTTAAGACATATCTAGTATTTAGTGCATAGATTGTAATGCTACTTAGAAGAATTCAAATCCAGTCAGATTCAAAACCCCATCATCTTAATCACTACACTATACCATCTTTGCTGAAAGGCCAAACCTAGGCCTCATTACTCATTTAACACTACTCATTATCTAGTACAAAACAAAGAAACTAAATTCATTATATGACAGTTGTTTCTGTTAGTCAATAATACAGCTATTTAGAAACTACTACCATTAGGACAGCTCATATTTCAGGCTATTAAAAATATTTTGTTCACAAAAACCAAAAATATCCCAATCAATGACCAATTAATACATTCCAGAAAACAAAGGTAGGCCTATCATATGTTTATAGGCATTTTTATTTACAAATGAAACATCATGAGATAATCATAGCTAACATTTTCCACATACTTACAGAATATATCTTATTTAAACTTTGTAATTGCCCTTTAAGAAGGAACTCTTACTGCCCCTATTTTATAAATGGAAATGCAATCTTAGAGATGTTAGGAACTTGGCAATGTCATATGAAGTTGGAGAGCCAGGACTAGAGCTTAAATCACTTGACAGTGCCTCAACCACTAAAGTAAACTCCTTCTCCAGTGTTTGGATAAACAGGAAGATATGCAACTTGGAGAACAAGACTTGGATTTAAGTCCCAGGTCTGATATCATGCTGCATAGCCTTCAACAAGTCATGTGCATTCTCTAAAAACTTGGAAAGTCCCTACCTCACAAAACTATTTTACAAAAAAACTGTGTGAACTACTGATTTTAAGCTACAAGTTTTACTAATGGTGAACATTATTATGAGAAAATACATTTTGTAGGCATAGTTGCCAAGTCAAAAAAGAGGCTATAGAACTAAGATGAGTATTTTATCATTGCTGTTGGCCCATCTAATATAGCTCCATTATCTATGAATTCAGCCAAGATCACAGAGGTAACACCAACATATGAAAATACATAGAAACAGGCTTTTGTCCTCAGGAAACTCACATCATTGTGCCCAAGTATAAAACGTATTATACTGGTTCTTACCTTTTTAAGAAAATAAGTCTTTTAAGAACTAGGAGAAGGGTAAATCAACCTTTCAGAAACATGCATACACATGGATAACTGAAAATTACATCTGGCCAGGATATTCAATGGCCTCAGATGAAGAACCCTTGGTCTACAGCAGATGGTCCAGATGCAAAAAGAAGCAGTGTTTGCTGGACCTGCGGCTGTGCAGTTTTTCCTTTAGTAGGGCGGGGAGGATAGTGAAGCCAAAACCCCTAAAGTGTCTTTGGGCTTCTAGAGAACTCCTAGGAAAAGCACCCATTATGTTTGTGAGCGAGGGCTCTTCCAGGGCAGTAAGCAGCAGTGTCCACTGACAACATGTTCTGCTAGGGTATTTGGAGCCTGTGGCTGTGAAATAGCAGTAGCAGTTCATGCCAGGGAACATTTTGGTAAATATTGAAAGAACTCTGCTTTGGAAATATATGTTTTGGGCCATAGTTAAGTAAGCCTTCCTCCATTAAAGGCCAGATTTGTAGATTTCAGCAAAATTACCTCTGCTAGCTGGGCACAGCCCTTCTGAGCCTACCTACCCACACCTGGTTGCTGGCTCCCTGCACCTCTGTTGCCTGTGATTACTCCTGATTGCTTGGAGGTCTTTTTTTTTGGTGAGGGGTGGGGTTTCCTTTCCATGCTCTCCCTTGTTAGTGTAGACGTTCCCATGAATCTAACTCTGGCCTTGATTTCTTCTCTCCTCAGTAGTAAGCCATGGAAAGTAATAAACCACGGAAAACAAAGATACTTCAACTATGATATCCATTCAGATTATCTGCCTCCCCCAAAAAAGTAAAATTCCATTTCTGGTTTTATTTTTATATTTATTTCTGAGGTACATTGCTAATTGTTCATGGGCTATTTATTCTTCAACTCTTGTGGATTCTTTGCATACAAGATAGCTTACACAGGACCCCTTATCTTATTAATCAAACTCACCTATTTCCTCACAATATCAGTCTTTGACTCTTCTGCATCTCTTTACCCCTCGTGTTCAATGGATTGTGAACATTTATTCCATACTGCATCCCTGGTGTCTCTCCCTATTCAGCCCATGGCCACAACAGTGATTCTTGTTCCCAATGCATTCTCAAAGACTATGCTACTGGTTCCAAGTCATTCTTTGAATCCTTGCTTACTACCCTCTTCACTCCAAAGTATCAATTGCCTTCAGATCAAACTGTCCCGATGCCCTATGGCCAGCTTATTACCTTATTTACCAAACCTCACAATCTCTCTCAGTCTTGAGCCTCCTTTGCACTGTGACCCACCATAACTTTCTACCCACGACTCGTGTTCATGGATCCTGTAACTCTAGTGAGACCCCTCTGTGCAAAATATATCTCAGTATTTCTCTCTCTTGTTGCTGGTTTATGTCGTTTTTTTTCCTCCCTAAAATTACCCCAACCCAGTTCCATATGTTCAAATCCTAAACATTCCTCGAGATTCTATTCCAATTTTACCTCCTTCATGAATACTCTCCTGGCCCTTCAGGTAAAACTGCAACTTCCCCTTCCTCTGATATCTCACCACATTTTTTTTTTTTAATCTCTATGTCTGCAACAGCATACACCACTGCTTCCTGCTGTTAAAGATAATTCTATATATGCATCATCTCTTTTCCTAGGTTTATTGAGGGCAAAAAATAGAAGGTATTCATCTTTTATATCTTAGGTTAATCGGAATAAGGACATATTGCATTATACATAGTAGGTGCCAAATCAATATTTTTTTGCATTAATACAGCACAGATATTAAAGAACAAGATGCTGCATAGGAGTCACTGAAGCTTCTGAGTTCTTGAGGTTAATTTAATCTGAAGCCATAGGTAGTGGCTCATTTCCATTTTTTTCCCCTTTGATAAAGTGTTTCCTCATTGAGTGTGAGGCCAGCTTTCCCACTGGACAAAGTGGTATTGTCACCAGCACTGGCACAAAACAATGGCTGAACATGTGATGCATTAACAACAGGTACACCACCTTGAACAGTCACAAAAGTGGCACTCAAACATTACTGTATTAACATCAATCTACAAAATGCCAGGGCCTCACGATTAATCATAATAATCAATACATTCTCAAATGAGCTTCTCTCACATG